ATGTATTTTATTTACAGTATAAAAGTACAATAAAACAAAGCAATGATATTCATGAAAAGAATTTGCTGTGGGCGATCAATCCTTTGTTGATATTTTCAAACTATCAACGATCGCTTCTTTTGTAGTCTTTGTAGGCACCATCTTTCTGTTAGCTTCTATGACCTGGAGAAGCACCTGCTTTTCATCTTCATCATTTGTTAACAGCTTGTTAAACTCTTCAAACAGCTTTACTCCTCTTTCAGCCAAGTCATTAACAACTTTCAGATTTCTGATGATGTTTTGACCTTTGATATACTCTTGGTCATCGGTCCATTCATCTGGGTTTTTGGTGAAAAAATTGGTATTGATTACCAATTTCTCAAGTAACTGCAGTGATCTTTTTGAAGCAAAATCAGCCAAACGCGCTTTCTCAGTTAGGAGTGCTGAATTGCCTCTCACTTTTCGTTCAGCAGGCTTACATTTCATTTTTTTCAACGATTTCCACCTTATCATCAACAGATACTTTTTTTGAGAACAGACTCAAACCAACCAACTCATCCGAAAGATACCAAAGATGAGATTTGAAAGCCTTTTTGACAATTTCAGTTACTTCAGGATCAATATCATGGTACTTTGTCATATCATTCCACAGTGAGAGATCTGACCATGGAGCATTTGAAGCTAAAGGAGCTTCTACCCAGTACTTGACGTAGACAAGAACTCCAAATTTCACAAAGCGTTCAAGCTGAGCTTTCTCCCTTTGCGTTGTCACGAAACCACTGCCATCACGAAACAAATAGATTTTGATGCCATATAACAACTTAGCCATCCAACGGGCGTGGTGTACCGCACCAGGAGCTCTCCAATGAATTTTGGCTGGAGTGTGGCTTAAAGCAATTAAAGCCAGCTCAATCAACTCCATATAGTCATCCCGAGGCTGACTTTTGCCTTTTAAGGCAACTTGGAGAACATCAACTGCAGATTGTTTTATAATCTTCACTGCCAGGAATGTTTTCCAAAGACTAATAACTATCTTGTCTGATATATTGCCATGCTGCTTTGAATCTTTTGAATATAGGTATATCAGGTGAACTGGAGGGACCAAAACAGAAAGTAAATATTTTACTGAGTACAATCTCTAAAACATGGTGTTTGCATGTTAGCCATAACAATTCTCCTTCAACTAGGTGTTCAATCAGAACACAAGCTCCATTTTTCAACCCTGTGTTTACAGATGTTGTGTCAAAACACATACCCACTACCTTTTTACCCAAACCCCATTCAGTAAGCTTTTTGTAAACAGCATTAGCTGAATTTTCACCAGTACCACCAACTAATTTTGGTACACCAAGCAATTTATCTGTATTGTCAGCAGGACAAGATACTATGACAGGCAAACGGTCTACCTTGTCACTTCCCAAAATATCAGAAAGAATTTTTCCATCCCAGTGTACAATGACGGGATTATCAAAAGAGGTAGATTCTTTAATAGTTTGAAATATAGTTTTTCGTGCTTCCTTCCTTTCCCGTTGAATAGTGCTTCTTGAGAGCGGCAATTCACTGGGATCATGACCGAGAGCTGCTGCGATAGGAGCCATTAACCTTAAAGCTTCCCTATCAGAAACTTTGTTGCGATCCAATGCACTAACAACATATGTGGAAAACAAACTTCTCTTTGCGATTGGTGGAGATGACAAGTCTGTGTGTGAATCTCTTTTGTTTCTTTGGGATGCCGAAGATGATGATGATGGTTTATACAGCTCTTCTTCTGATGAGCTGTGTTTTACTGGAGTACACTCATCTGATGAATCATCCTCTGAACTTTGGCAGGAAGCAGTCGGAGTCACCAGAGGGGAAGCGGTCCCCTCTTGAGCTTTTTGAAGTCTTTTTTGTTCTTTTAACTTTCTTTCAAGGACTCTCTCCTGTTTTTTTTTATATTCCTTGTCTTCTGATGTTATGATCATTTTTCTGTCAGTTCTTTGATCTATTAGAAACTGTCTGTCCTCATCTACTTTACACATAACCAGAGCTTCACTGTGAGCAATATCAAAAAGCTGATCGAGCTGCTCTACAAACAGATTTTGTCTTTTGTTTTGGGCATCGGAGTTTCTTCTTTTATTTTTCTTTAGCATAAGCCATTCATTGTGTATTTTCTCAACTTTTTCAATACAATGTTTTTTTAATCTGGTAGGAATCGCAGCCTTTTGCCATACTGACATCACTTCTTCCAAGGTTAAGTGGCTAGCATTACTTATGGATTTTTTCTCGTTTAGGAAAAAATGAAATCTGAGAAGAACTTGCCTTACAGAAGATAGTTGGTTCAACTGAGATATGGGTTCTATTTCTCTTATTCCAATTAAAAAAATATTATCTGCTTTACGCGTTGAAGTGGAGGGCGAAGCCATGACTACGCACATGCACAAATCACAGTTCCTTCTTCTGTTCACTTTTTGCACTTGACTCGTATTTTCTACTAGTAACAAAATAGTCTTTTAAGACAAATATTATCAGTTTATATATATATATATATATATATATATATATATATATATATATATATATCAATTACTTAAGTCTTTAAATGCACAATTTTCACAATTTCAGCATCTGAAACAAAAAAATAATGTAAGATATTAATTTTTGAAACTTCGACGAAATTGCGAAATTTTCAAAACTTTGAAGACTTTGAGCACTGCTTTCCACTCCACCTATGACATTGAAACTTTAGGGATTTACTTCTATTAGGCAAAGTAAAAAAATGAGAGGGTGCCTAGGGATGTTCTACAATTTTGAAATTTTTGGGCCACACTACTCTAGAGTTACTGTTTGAACAAATGCAGTTGTTTAAATAATTGCTCTCAGAGATAAACAAATTAGTAATGCATTCGACCGATACTTGATGGAAATTCATTTATTTGTATAACAATAAAATACTGAAAACATTGTTTTCAAAACTTTTACTAAATTTATTTTAATATCTTACCTATCTAAATGGGAATAAGCCACAATTAAAGGTTAAAGTACGTTTATTGACGTTTCGCCACAATGCCACAAGAAAATAGCTTCAGAACAATATCTTACCTATAAGTACAGCAGTTTCGGCAAAGTGCCTTTTTCGAGTGATCTATTTTTGGTATGTGCTTACACTTTATAGTCTCTAATGAAATAGGTTGAGGAGGGGAGAACTGTTTGTCTCAAGTTGGTCGTTCAGAATTATGTCTGTATTTTTTAATTTGTTAATTTCTATAGATTTTAATAATAGCTTAAAGCCTTTATTTTGGATGTGCAAAATTAGAAATTTGTCAATAAAAGAATGAATAATAATCATTCCCCAAATAATACTCCAAAGATACGTCGCGGATACTACCTCCAGTGCCAGTTTTGATATTAGTCAATTCCATACGATTACGCGTCCACTCTCTTTCGTTGTCTAAGTTTGCGTTAATATCAAAAAGCTCTTATGGCACTGTTCGTGCCATAAGAGCCAAAAAAATAATGAAAACTTGGTTTTTAGTTGGAAACAGTGTCGGAAGAATGTCATGGATAGTGTGAAGTAACACAGATTTTTGACGCAGTTGGCTTCGAAGGAGATTTAAACTCAACGTCGGTGTGGTTTGTCCGCTTTAAGCAATGGGATGAGTGATGATGAAAATAGGACTTTATGAACAGAAGCTCAGCGATGACCAACAGGAAGCTGAAGAATTCAAAAACGAGTTATTGCTGCTTCAATCAGTCTTGCCTCTCTTATATGGTTCAAAATCCGCGGTCGGCCACTTTTACACAAGTTAACACATGGTATCCCTTCTTCACATTCTCCGATTGTGCGATAAATTATCGATTTGCTTATGTTTTGATCTCGATAAATATTAACAATATCTCGTTTCGACATTCACCCAACCATATCATAAACACATCGACTAATATCAATTTTATAAGACATTTAGCAAAGCACAAACCAAAATATTCTGCTTTGTTTATTAAATGTCAATAACTGATGACACTTCAATTCCATGGCCTTCTTTGTTAAATGAATTTTGCTTCTCAATCAGACCAGGTGAAATTTTTACGAAAACTTTAGGATCATACGTTAATATCGTAAAACATATTAAGATCAGATGTCTGAGGTGGATAGGACATATAATGCGGGTGGAACAAAATGATCCAGCTAGAAAAACGCTCCTTGATAGGACCAATTGGTCAGAGTAGAAGAGAAAGACCCAGAACTAGGCCCTTGATAACATCGATAAAGAAATGAGAAATATGGGAGAACGTGCTTGGCGGAGAAAGGCGATGGATAGGGACGACTGAAGAGAAATTCTTGAGAAAACTAGGGCCCACGCAGGGTTGTAAATCCAGAATGATGATGAAGATTATTTGCTGCATTTACGGTCTCTTATTTATAGCAAAATTACACCATTGCTTCTCTGTCGTAACTAAGCTTCTCGGACTGAGTGGTAAGCTCACGAATCCCTTGATATTTTTTAGCAAACCCCGAGATTAGTACGCTTTCCAATCTTTGTTACAGAAATCACGTAGAAAGTACTTCATCGAGTTGTTGAGAAATCGATCGTTTCAATGATTTCCGTGCAAATATATTTTTAAAATAGTCAGACTGAGATGTTAATTTTCATACTTTTACTTTGTTTTTATCGAAATCAAGTATTGTTTGCTTGCTAACTTTATAGTTTTCTGATAATAATGCAACACTTTTATCTGTTACACTTCTGTTTTAAATCTCTAGTTAAAATATTTCTCTTGCGTTTAACACTGGTTGTCGCCATCTTGAAAACAAAGACACGTGTTAAGATTATAACAAACTAGCGATATTATCTTTTTAATTTTTATCAAACTCTTATTTGAAACAATTTTACACATACATATTAATAGCAACTACTACAAAACACAATATCAACGTTTTTCAAATTATCTCTAGATATTTTTGATGTGTTAACCATCTCATAAATGGAATCATATTTTAATATGTACATTTATTTTTTAAATTATGTTCGTATTTATTTCAGGTTAGGCCGCCTTCGTGACTGCAACACCCACGAATCTCTCAGCGAACTCTGCGACGACTATTCCCTCATAGACAACGAATATTTCTTCGATCGCCACCCTAAATCCTTTAGCTCTATCCTCAACTTCTACCGCACCGGAAAGCTACATCTCGTCGACGAAATGTGCGTTTTAGCTTTCAGCGATGATCTCGAGTATTGGGGAGTGGACGAACTCTATTTAGAGTCGTGTTGTCAACACAAATATCATCAACGGTAAGTATATTTTGTTTATGATCTTGATATGATATAAAATACTTGAAGTTTCCGTTTGAAAATTTTTGATGGCGTTCTCCACTTCCAATTTAAGTTTAAAAAATGTTCCTGAAAAATTACTGAAATCGGTTAAATTTGCTATATCTTCAGAGTCATCGAGATTTTTTTATATTTTTTCATGCGTCTTTTAGTTTTATTAAGACTTACAAGAGCTGTAGGATATATCGCAGAGAATCTCATATATTCAACCATATTTTTATGACTGCAAAGCACTAGATCGCGGGTAGAAAACCCTTTTTGAAAACTATTGAGTGACTTCAAAAACATTATCACACAACACTACTAAACCTGTAGAAGTAAGGGTATCATGAATAACAGGAAACGTAAAATAAGATATTTTCTGCTATAACACCAGTTTATATTAGATGGTTTCTAAAAAAGCCTTTTATTGCGTATTTTTTAAATCTCATAAACTTCAGTAACGTGCGCAACATCTTCTGGCGTTATGTAATTACTTTGTTTGTAAGACTTTTTTTAATTATTGAAAAAAATACTGTAAAAAAATGGGATAACCCGTACTCGTACCCGTAATTTTTGTAATCGTAATTATACCGTTTAGTAGATATTATAATTAAACCTAACCTAAATTTCTATCGTTGTATTTGCTTTATTTGTTTATGTTTATATTTTGAAAAAATGGATTTTGGAAATCTGTTACTACTCAATAAACTCATGTGTTAGGATCCTTCTTCTCAGTCCTAATCCCTTTTGGGATGTGGTGACACCCTCAGGCCTTTTTTTCACAGTTTTTTCACAATTTCCATCCATCCTTTCCTGTCCTGGGCTAGTTGTTCGGCTTTATGTAACCCTTGGTAAATCAATATTTTTGTTTGATCTACCCAACGGCTTGGAGATTTTCCTCAAGGTCTCTTTCCTTCAACTCTACCCTCGACTAACATTTTTTCATCGTACCTGTTCTTCTAGCAATGTGTTCAAAATACTGCAAATATTTCTGTTGTATTTGTTTAAGCAATCTATTCTTTGCATGCGGCGGTATACCCACATTTCAAAAGCGTCTAGTATATTTTTATCCGCTTTCTTTAAGGTTTCGGATGCATATGTGGTTATGGAAGAAATTAATGCCTTTATCAGCCTTAGTTTTGTGTGTATTGTTATGCTAGAATTTTTTCAAATTGTTACCAGTTTCATCATAGCTGTTCTCGCGTCAAGCTGAATAGTCAACCTTCTACGTATTATTCTGTCACACCCTCCGTCATTCACCTCCTACTGATAATCCACCCTTCCATCCGTCTAGTACCTTTCGCATAATGTATTCACTGTAGATATTAAACAGAGTTGGCGAGATTATGCATCCCTACCTGACACCTGCCTCTGTTCTGAAATGATCGGAAATTGTGTTGTTTATTTTTACTGTGCCCTTACTATTTTCCTATAGACTTCTAATTAGTTGAGTTAACTGGTGGAGTGTTCCCATTTCCGCTAGTATGGATAGCATAGCTGTTGCCATTTGACTTTATCGAAGACCGTTTTTTAATGCACAAAGCACATAAGCATAGGGTTATAGAACTTTTTTTCATATTTTTTGTCCCAGGAAAGGTCCAGGGCCTTTTCCTTGGACAAATACCGCTTGTTCTTCTAATATATGAGGCAAAAGAAAAGCTTTTACTCTTTCATGAGTTACATGAAGTAAAACCTTGCTTGCATGGGATATTAGGGTTACCGTTCTGTAGTTGCTGCAATCTAGCTGAGTTCCTTTTTTAAATATAACAATGAAAGTCGTTGGGCCGCTGTCCGGTTTCCCAAATCTTTTTGCAGATCATATGCATAATATTTACTTCAACATCTCCAGTCACTTTTAAAACTTCTGCGGTGATCTGGTGTGTGCTAGGAGATTTTCTATTTTTTAACTTTTTGATTGCTTTTTCTATCTCTGACTTTAGAATGTTTGGTTCTGTCTCTGCAGTGAACTCGTTATGATTTGCATTCTGCAAATCATCTGCATATAGACTTTGACAATATTATCTCCATACCTCCGCAATCCCTTTTTCGTCATTTTTAATACGTTGGTTTTGATCCATGATTATTTCTGTAATTATTTTAAATTCCCTGGATAGATATCGGACTTCAGTTCTTCGCATTCTTCATTTATATGTTTATTTTTATTATCCTTACATGCTCTTTCAATTTCTCCATTTGACCTTTGTGAAATTAAATCAGTTAGTTTTTGTTTCTGTCGTTTTGATATATGAAAGATTTGATTCTTCTTCGCTCTTCGAGAAGATGCAGCGTTCTGTCTGTCATCCAGTGTTTTCTTTTGATGATTTTTTTTCGTTTCCGGTTCTTTCTACAGAGGTGTCTATGGCATGTCTGAAATCTTCTCATATTTTCCCTGGGTTGTCTTGTGTGTTCAACGTAATATCTATCTATCTATCTAATTAGCCTTCTTCGGTCCATCTTTGGACATAGGCCTCTCCAATCCTTTTCCATTCTTCTCTGTCTGTCGCTACAGTCATCCACCTAGACCTCACGTGCTTCTTGATATCATCTGCCCATCTCATTTGGTTTGCTTCGTTTATATTCCCACAGTCTCCAACTTATAAGAATTTTGTTCCATCGGTCTTCTTTTTGTCTTATATTGTGTCCGGCAAATCTCCATTTCAGTTTTGCAACTTCTTGTCTAACATCCCTCACTTTTGTTTTCTCTCTTATCCACTCGTTTCTCTTTTTATCCATTAGTCGTATGTGCAACATTTGTCTTTCCGTTGCTCTTTGGGTTTTATGATTTTGTCCATGTTTGCTTTTGTAAATGTCCACGTTTGGGAACCATAAGTAAGAACAGGGAGTATGCATTGATTGTATACGTTGGTCTTACGATGCTGTGGATATCTTTTGTTTTTAAGAATGTATCTTAGTTTGTCAAATGCCGCCCATGCCAGTCTAACTCGTCTCTTTATCTCTGCTATTTAGTTCTCTTTATTAAGTTTTATAGTTTGACCAAGATATATATATAATCCTGAACTTGTTCTAATTCATCTTGCCGATTCTCATTGTGATGTCTTCATCTGTATTTTTTATGGTTTTGGTCTTGCTGTAATTCATATTAAGGCCTATCTTTCCAGCTTCTACGTCCAGTTCTTTCATCATTTGTTCAACGTACTAGTTTCCTTTAATAATCTCTAAATGTTTTCGGATTTGAATTCTCCAGCCTCTTTTGATTTTGGCGCGACTGTTATTTTTAGCTTCATTTCGAAGAAAGCCTATAACAATTTATGTTCGGATCCACATTCTGCTCTTGATCTAGTTTTTACGTTTGGAAAACATGTATTCCACCTGTTTCTAATCACGATGGTGTTAGGATAGATATGTTTTAATTTAAATACATCTTTCCAGCCTTTTAATAGATCAACTGTCTTTTTATTATTAAAATAATCAGTAAAATCAAGATCATTTTTCCGGAGCAGGTTCATAATGCAATGTAATGGTCTTTATTTATACGACTTCTACTGTTGCATCCACTTAGAGCACATTTAAAATACTACAATTTTTTGACAAGTAGATTTTTTTTATTGGTATTAATTGGACAAAAAACCGAACTTTGCTATATAATACAATTTAAACGGCACCAGAGTAGGATTTGATGGTAGAGATGACACTTTGGCAATGTGGAGGAAGTACAAGTACGGATTATACCAATAGCTGTTCAAATTGCCAACAACTTATTAACCAAACTTTTTAACCTTAAAGGTAACTGCATTTCAACATTTTACCTCAAATGTTCTTTTCATTTGCAAAGCTCATATAGTGGGGATAAGTATTACCAATAAACCTAGTTCACTCGTCTATTGTTTTAAAAAGGCACAATTATCGGCAGATGTTATTTCGTTAATAAGGAGAAATGAAGTCAGTTCGGTATGTGTTAATTTGAGATTTCCAGAATTGTACACAGGACAGACTAGGTGAAAAATTCTCATTCCCAAGACGGCGCCTTTTACAAACCAATAAGGAATATTGGATGATTTGCTTAAAACAAATAAAAGAGAAGAAAAACTTTCAGAAAAAGATACATTTTTTTTAACTTTTACAGACATTCAAAAACCTTATGATAATCTATATATTCTAGTTATATAGGCGAATACGCCCATCCGGTAGGGATTTATGCTTCGATACTGCTCACCCATAGATCGATCCTATACAGCAGCATATTCTAGTTGAAGTAGCAAATCCATTTGGGTTTTAAATACAACGTTAGCTTTTTGTTTTTTTGACCAAGGTTTGAACCATTCATTCACTAGATAATTCACACTAAAGTAAATGTAATTTGTTTGCCTGATCCGCTTGTCTATCTGACGGATACTTGTGATAATATATCTCTAAATATTATGTAAAAAGTTTTACAGTAATCACTAAAGAGCGGATGAAATGCAAACAAAATCTAAAAACAAATTAGCATCTTAATGACCAAAGCTTAAATCAAGCTACATTGAAGACTTTAAAACAGAGCAAGGCTCAGGCAAATTTAATATAATATGCAAATAAATGTCCAAAGTTTTTAAAAAATACAAATTTTACGAATTCGCAAAAAAATGCAAAAATGCAATAAAATGTAAGTTGAATATTATCCGCCCTTTAGCCACCACCAATAAATTACACTGTCACTCAGGCATTGAAACATCTATATAGAGGCTCACAGTCACGAGTAAAAACTTATAAATTCCTCACTAACAATTTTGCAATACCAAAAGGGCTTAGACAAGGATATTGTCTCTCTGCAACCGTTTTTAAAATCTGCACTGCAGCAACCCTTTAAGCTTGGAAGAGGAAAGAAAATAGAATGGGAGTCAAGGTAAACAATACCTGCTTATATGCTCTCCAATTTGCGGATAATGAGGTCATTGTTGCAAATGACAACGACTACAAGAATTACTCTAGATAAGGATTATACTTCAACATTCACAAAACAAAATATTTATGTATTGGTT